AAAAAAAAAAAAAAAATTGAACAAAACTTGCTGCCTTTCACTACAGTAATTGCCAGGAGCTGAAGTGCTTCCATGGGAAGTGCATGTTTGTACTCACATAATGTATTATATGAAAATTATACATTCTGTACTAAATGTATTCCAGAACTCTAAATTAGGGTAGTTCTTTCATACAGAGATTTTTTGAGCTCTATATTTTGAATCACATACTCCGACTGTAAAATGTATATAAAAATAAGCTTTGTATGTGAAAAATATATCTAGGTTTAAGTCCATCCTTAGCCATAGGAAGTTATTGGCTGATGTTAGAGCAATCATTCTGTCTTAGTCCAGTCTATACTGCCTAGTTGTAGTTTTGGTAAACTGCAAAAACTCTTGGAATAAAAATGAGATAGAAATGCAATAAAGACATTATTCATATTTGTATTTTCATGCTAGTTTTAAACTTGCTTCAATTATTAGACATTGGCATTGCAAAATTTGAAATTCTGAAAAGGAGAGTCACAATGGCTGTGAAGCAGTTCTAGTATACCACTATCGCTCTACTCTCTGAACACAGGAATGAAGCTAATAAGAGATGTGAAAAATGGTCACTCTAGAAACAGAAACTTCTTGATACCACCAAACCAAGCTGAATCTTTTCCTTGAACACGGTGTTCTGTCCAGGAGGAGGTTTGGCATGGTATGGAGGAAAATAGAACATTCCAGAGTTCTTTGGAATTTTCTATTTCTAGGTTGTTTATTTTGTACATCCTTACAGATTACCTAAGATTGTACTGTGGTAACTTTCAAGATGTGCAGCCATAGAACTTGAAACTTCTTAGAGCAAAAATTAAAAATAAAAATGGGATATTCTTTGCAGACATTTAGTCCTGCATTTGACTAACTAAACAGAGTAGTCAGTCTTACTCAAGTGCTGGGTGGTTTCCCATCCCTGCCATTCCATCTTAAATTACATGGTGAACTATCTTTAGATTATGAAGCAATACTTTTGATAGGTAAAGGCTAGCTATTAGCAATTGATGTTTGAGCAGCCTTTGCTATGTTTTTTTCTGAACAATACCATCAGCAGTGGAACTATGAAGAACATAGAAGTGGCACATTGGGCTAAAGTAGTTGAATATAGCAATGACTATAGACTGGAAATGATATGGAACATGTAACAGCCAGTGTAAAAGGTTTGGCTGGCAAAGCCTGGAAAAATGCTGATTTGGCATGAAGGTATTTTAGAGGACAAGCAGTAGCATGTGGGATATGGGTTTGGCTGGTGATTAATTGAATTTTGTAGGGTGTAAGACAGGAGTTGGAGATAGCATTGATGCTGATGAAGAGATTTTAGAAGGTAAGATATTGAATAGTGACACTCAGATTGGACTGAGAGATTTTTAGCTGATAGATTCTAATTTTCCCTCTCAAACATAAACAGTACTGTCCAAATAAACTGTGGTGCAACCTTTATATATAATATGCTGGTTAGGAGTTTTGCCTTTTTAAACCTATTTTGAATTTGATGCCTTGAAGAGATTATAAATTGGTATATAAAGTTATAACACTGACAACAAATGACTATAGCAACAACAGCACTCAAGGTGCCAAGGTGTTTTTTTTTTAATCAATACAAAAAGAATGTAGTTCATTTTCCCCTCCTTCAATCCCTGGGTGCAAATGTGAAGAACTCTGTGCCCTCCTGCCATTTTTTATAACCTGCTTTGTCACCCTGTACAACTGAAATAAATTCTGCAGTGCGATTCAAAAAATGTCCTAGATCAGATAACTTTTGGAAGTATCCCCATTAACCAGTAAGATCTGAATATTCTAATAGAAAAACACATTCTTTTTTTTCAGTGAGTAGCTTAATGAAGTGAATCTGCTTCAAAGTAATATATGTAAAAGTAATAGGAAGGGGGTTGTTTTTGCAAGAGCATGTTGGCTTGGTTTCTTTCTATTTTAATTATTCAATTACACTAGACAATATCTGTAAATTAGCCAGGATGTGCATTCTGATTTAGCTAGAGTAATCCACAAGTATTTATGTGCACACAAACTTGATCAATCAGCAATATTAGAAAAATTGATAAAGACCTCACAGTGCATTCCATAAAATCTGTCCAATTAACTGGATGAAATGTCTCACTTCATGTTGTCCTGTTATGAAAAACCTCAAACTTTGCAGAACAATGGTGCTGTAGCATACAGATGGACAATTGTTCTTAAAGGGAAACAAGGGCTATTCTTCTTATACTTCTAAAACCATAAAATCACTAAATGCCATACAGCAATTCACTGTAAACAGAGGTGACTGACTCTGACCAGAAAATATTAGTCAGTGCTAAATACAGAGTTCGCCAGTCTTGAGCATGTAACCTAAAAAGGCAGTCACTGTTCTAATGCCTGATGTGTCTTGCTTCTAGACCAAAAGAGGCAAGGAATATTTGATGTGCCTAGTCTGCAAGGTGGGTAATGGCACACTGTAGCTGTATAAATTGACCAGTATTCTGGGCAAACAGCCCTCTTCTGTAAGCTTTATTCCTCCAATATTAAATTATCCAGCTTGTAACTCTGCACTAGTTGTGAAACAGGCTTAAAAAAAAAACTTCATGAGCACATTTAAACCAGTTTCTGTTAAATTTGTATAGTTGCTATGTAATCTGGTTTCTCTTCTGATAGTACACGTGCTAAACGCATATCATATTAAGAATAAAAATGGTAACTTTGGTATTCATTCACATTCCTGAACACCATTAAAAGTTCCACCCTTACCAGAAAGCTGGTGACTTCTTTACCTACATTTTTTGGTAGAATAAAATCCTCATGCTCTGGGTTTTGGTGGTCTGAAATTATGTATCTTACACATTTTTTCCTAACTGGATATAATATATGCTTTTATTATAAGTGTCCCTGTCTCAAGCCTGCCTCTAACATTGTGGCCTGACTTAGTCCTGATGACTAAGAGGATACTTATATGTATCAATTTCTTCTTTAGTACAGCCATCTGAATATCTCACATTTATTTTTTGTGAATGTCTACTGAAGTGATAATAACTGATTTTGGAAGAGTATTAAAAGTCTGGGGATTTGATCTTGACCCCATATCATAATTCTTTTGTTCAGCCTCAGTTGCATTTAAATTTGAACAAATTTGCAGCTGCATGTTAGTTGAACTTTTGCACAAGATGTTTAAAACTGTACAGTAGTTTAGTCCGTGGAGCAGCAGACTTCCGTTGTCTTTGTTTTTTAACTAACATCAAACTTGTTTCATATAGCAAGCTCAAATTTATATCTGCCATTTTGCAGTATAAGAAAGTTCTAGGAGAATTCCTAACTTGAGAGTAAAGGTGATAGGAGGAGGCCCAACTATTTTTTTTGAACCTGTCAGGGCAGATGCTACCTTAAGGTGGAAAAGCAACAAAATATATTGAAGATCTGTTCATCTATAATTATATAAAGACCAAAACCCGAAATCCGTTTAAGGTCAATCTAGATGTCATGCCAAACATTAAGTAATAAAATGGCCTACAGGTTATTACTGTAGCTGGTTGTTAACCCTTTTCTCCTATATTATTCGTATTTAAAATATCTTTGCCTAGGCTGCTATTTTTCCCATGAGGAAAGTATACAAGCACTTATACAACACTAGATTTGATTAATCATTTCCAGGCATTATATTCAACTGGGCTCACAGGAATGTCTTGCATTTGGCTTTTACAATTGTGCTTTTTGGCTTGGTTTTCTGTATTGACTCTAAAAATACTGAGGACATATTCACATATTTCAAATTTCCTAGTCTGTGACCTGTTACATTCCCCATTGAAACTGCTTTCCACACCATCAGTGCACTGTTAACTCATACCAATTTGCCTCTCCTTGCATTGCAGGTGGTCCGTAGTCGCCTAGAAAAGCAGGGCATCACTGTCCACAATGTGAGGTTGAATGGCTCAGCAGCTAGCCATGTGTTACATCAGGACAGCGGTCTGGGGTATAAAGATCTGGATCTCATTTTTGGTGTTGATCTGAAAAGCGAGGATATTTTCCAGCTGGTAAAAGATGTAGTGATGGATTGTCTCCTGGATTTCCTCCCAGAAGGGGTAAACAAAGATAAGATCACTCCCATGACTCTGAAGGAGGCCTATGTGCAGAAGTTGGTGAAAGTGTGCAATGAAACTGACCGCTGGAGCCTTATATCACTGTCAAACAACAGTGGGAAGAATGTGGAACTCAAATTTGTAGACTCTCTCCGGAGGCAGTTCGAGTTCAGCGTTGATTCTTTCCAGATAATATTAGACTCACTATTGCTCTTTGGAGAGTGCTCAGAGAACCCAATGTCTGCAAACTTCCACCCTACTGTCACTGGGGAGAGTATGTATGGGGACTTTGAGGAGGCGATTGATCACCTGAGGAACCGAATCATAGCTACTAGGAATCCAGAGGAAATCAGAGGAGGTGGGCTTCTGAAGTATTGCAACCTCCTTGTGAGGGGATTTAAACCTAAATCAGAAGTTGACATGAAAGCCCTGCAGAGGTACATGTGTTCCAGGTTTTTTATAGACTTTCCTGACATTGGGGAGCAACAACGAAAGCTGGAGTCTTACCTCCAAAGTCACTTTGTAGGGATGGAAAGTAAAAGGTATGATTGCCTGATGACCTTACACAGAGTGGTAAATGAGAGTACAGTGTGCCTGATGGGACATGAAAGACGACAGACGCTGAACCTCATTGCCATGCTGGCCCTGAGGGTCCTGGCTGAGCGGAACATAATTCCAACTGTCACAAATGTGACTTGTTATTATCAGCCAGCACCATACATCAGTGAAATAAACGTCAACTATTATGTCACCCACATGCAACCTCTTCTGCCTTGCAGTCACTCCTACCCAACTTGGCTCCCCTGCAACTGAATACTGAAAAAAGCTCCAGTCTTTGTCTTCTCGAAGAGCAGAGGCTGTGTGTTCAGAAGAAAAGAAAAAAAATAGGTCTCTTGCTCTGAGTATTTTGCTCCTACATTGGAACTAAGTCTGCTTAATTGTGGGAAATTGTGCAGTGATATGTCTAGTTACCAGAGATGTTTACAGGAAGAAAATGCTTGAGTTAATGTGTAAGGTAGGTGAAAGGATTAGGTTAAAAGCAGAACTGCACTACCTTGAATGCAAGCTGTTTTTTTTTCTTTTTTAGTGCAAGAAGTATTAAGGGCTGTGCAGACTCTTTTTTCTGAACATATTTCAAAGTGGTTAATTCCTTTTAAGGGACCAAAGAAATCCTATTCAAGTGCCTGCAACCAAAAAGGAAATACTGTAATTTTTTTTTAGTGGCAGAAGTCTATATTGACAACTTAGTTATGGATGTCTGCCATGAATTTTTGGTTTTAGGATCACACATTCATTTCTGTCAAGGGAACTGAAGTGGGCAGAGGCTTTCCACAGCAGCCACTGTATCATGGTTTGCTGTCTGACGGACCAGCAGCATTGATTAACAGTTGGAGCAGAGCTGGGATGGGAAACTAATGTGGTTCAATTCATAATGATAGAGAAATCTTAACGAGATGGATTGTATGCCCTCATTGTGAAGGCTACAAGAGGAAATAGAAACTACCCTAAATTATTATTCAACTTAATGTGCAGTGCCAAAACCCTAACATGTTAATTCCTCTTAAAGGAAAGTCTATAGATCAGTATTTTGCTATGCCAATCAATATATCTTTTTCATGGGAGGAGGAGTAGTTCCCAGGCTTAATGGCCTCTGTGGTTGTCAACTGGTATTAGAGTAAAAACGAGCTGGACCCAAAACATAAAAAGACACAGGCATAGCCCTTTGTTCATGTTAACAGAGAGAGCTAAAGTTAGGCCTTGGCCTACGAGCCCCCAGCTTTCTGTTTAAGAATAGCCCACTATAATATCTTGAGAACTGTGCTTCTCTTCCTGTTGGGTGTCTGTGACCACCTGCTTGACTCCACGTTAGATTAAGAAAACATTTTAATACTGATTGCTAGGGCTGTGCAAAATTTCATTGTCTTAATTTGACAAAGTATCAATGATGTATTGAATCAAGTCATCAAACTGAAGACTAGGTTTGATGCATTGAATCAGATGAAATGATCCAATTTAGATAACTTTTGTTTGAATTGAACTTTCGAATTGAATTAACCCAATTCATACATTTGAATTGACAATTCAAATCTGGTTAAAAAAAACAGTTTGGATCGGATCTGATTTGCACAGGCCCATTCCATTGCCTTATTTTTGCTAATAAAACATTGATGTGGAGGAAATTCCTCATATGTTGCACTTGCTTCAGTAGAATAAGGGGGAGAGAGCTGTGGACAACTGTGCCCAAGAAATTGTTGAAGTCTTGTAAAACTAGGTTTGGAAGTAATTATTTACTCAGCACAATAGTCCTTCCTGTATATTTTTTGGATTGCATAGCAATTATACAACATATCAGTTCAGATTAGTTTATGCTTTTTAGAAAGCTGAGGCAGCAGATACTTTGGCTTTTGGACATGCCTGCTCTGTAAGGGATACACAAAAATGCTCCATGGTGTATCCATGAAGGTTAACTGACTTACTAATCTGTTTTCTCTGCAATAAAACTGTACCATGTTGGAGCAGACTAAAGAAAAAAAAATGAAATAAAATATCATACTTGGATTGTGTCTAGATAACATTCTGCCTCTTCCTGAGAGATAATGAGCTGAGATGGTAAGGCAGTTGCTTAAGATCTGCTGCCTAATTGGCAGATACCTACTCCAACTTCACCCACTTCAATATTTTTACAAGTCGTACAGACTTAGTGGAACTGCTCATTTCTGATAAGTCCAATGCTGTGTAAATACAGAGTTCTTGAATATATAGATGGCTTTTGATGATCTCTCCTCTAAGTACTGGTCTTCCATGTTCTGCAATGAATGTGGCTGCAGTGCCTGATGATTAAGGGGGCTATCCTGAGGTTTCCTCTGCCACTAGAAGGAATGCTTTGCTTTTCCAGACTGTCTCCTTTGACTACTATATGATAATTTACATTTAGAAGGAGAGAATTGGGTTTGCACTAAAACCACACAGCTGGCTGGCAGCAATATTTTTGGCTAAAATTATGGGTGAAAATTTAAATAGTAAAAATTGCCTCTTTTGAAAAAAGGTCAGTGCTGTGTTTGGGGAAAAAAAGCCCTCCCATATAACCAAGGGCTTGCTAGATTTTTTTTTAAAGCACTTTTTGCGGTATGGGGATGTGTGGTAAAATACAAGTAGAGGCTGCATCAGATATATCTGCTGTGATACTGCTGTTTTCTTTGTGTGCATGAGAATATCCTGAAGATTTGAAGAGTTTGACACTTTGAATGACACTTCTAGACTTACGTTTGAATGTATTCTGCAGCTATCAAATCTGTCATGCAATAAGCCTGACATAAGAATTTGCTGGATTCTTTAGAATCTGTCACCATAAATAAATACAATGTATTGAACTCTGTTGGACTTACTTTACTTAATCACACAAAGGTATTGTGATTTTAGTTTCTAACCCTCAATTCTCTTTTCTGCCTGTAACAAAATTGATCTAGGTTAGCCTTCCCCAACCTGCACACTCGAGATAAACTGGACTGCA